TTTTTATTACGATTATTATTATTGTGTATGTTGTTATTGTTGTTGTTGTTATTATATTTATTATTATATAACTACATAGTATTATTAATAATTATGATTATTATTATGATTACTATTATTACTATTATCATTATCATTATTTTTTGATGGTATTATCATTATCATTATTATTATTACTATTATATTATTATTTTTATTATTATCACTATTATTATAATTCCTATTATTATTGTTATTTTTATTTCTATCATTATTATTAATATTTTCTTGTATTTATCATAATTGTAATATTAATAATTATTATTATTAATTTTATCATGATTATGATTTTTCTTTAAATTACTATCATTATTATTACTATTATTATTTTTATTATTATTACTAGTGTTATGATTATTATTTCCATACACACCACTTTTTTACTATTATTTACTTTTCTACTGAATATTCATTTTCTGTTATATTTTGTGTTTATTTCGTTTTTAAATTACATTTACGATGATCATTTTTAATTTTAAAAAATACCGATACTTGAAATGGTTTTTTTGGAGTCAAATACAAAAAACTTTATCATCAATTACATCATACTTGTATTACATATTAATACAATGTATTCAATTTTTTATAATTTGCCATGAGATTAATCTAACTATATACTTATATTCAATAAAATACAACTTGTTTATAATTGATGATCAAAGTTTATCCAAATTGCATCCAACAAACTTCCTCTCAAACTAACGATGACACAACTCACGGCCTCTCCAATATTTATATGTTTGATGAGAATACCATCTTGCACAACTACTACATCCACACGAGATACACTGTTCAACCTCTTGTTTAGAAATTAAGCACACAACACACACAAATAATCTGCGAGAAACGAGAGAAACGTAATACAGACAACACAAGTGAAATAAGAAATTCCTCCTGTTGCAGTCGTGGATTAGAGAAACCGAACCACGTTAAATTCTTGTGTGTTATTTGTGTTCCGTCTCTCTCATTTCTCGCAGATTATTTGTGTGTGTGTTGTGTGTTTAATTCCCAACAAGTGGTATCAGAGCTTGGTTGTTCAACACGAGACACCACAAGTGAAATAAGAAATTCCTCATGTTGCAGCCGTGGATTAGAGAAACCGAACCACATTAAATTCTTGTGGGTCGTTTGTGTTCCATTTCTCTCGTTTCTCGCGGATTATTTGTGTGTGTTGTGTGTTTAATTCCCAACACAAATTGCATCCAACAAACTTCCTCTCAAACTAACGATGACACAACTCATGACCTCTCCAATAATATATGTTTGATGAGAATACCATCTTGCACAACTGCTACATCCACACGAGATACACTGTTCAACCTCTTCTTGTTAAGTATGAAGTAGATATATTTACTTATAATTGTTTCCTTGTGTATAAATTTCCATGATTACATTTCTACCTTTTGTAAATTCCTACTGATGATGCCCTGGATTGGGGGGTATCTAGTCTAAAAAAACAGTAACAAACTAACACAATACAAACACGGTAATGGAAAGGGATGTCGGTCAAAGCGCATACCTGACCAAACTTTATGACGACCATATCGGCTAGATCGCGATCAGAGCTGGCAGCTAGACGAGCTTGGTCAGCAGTGGGGAGCCCAATCGTCGTCTCCACAGGAAACTTCTCCAAGCCCACAGAAGGGCGATGGGGGACGTTGAACCTCTCAACTCCATTTCTGTCTCCATGTCAATGGTCATGAGATGCGCAGGGTCGACCGAGGAGGGAGGCCGCTCAGAAGGCTCACCCCTAGTTGCACGAGATGTAGGCTGCGCCAAATGCTAATCTAAGAGGCGTCTAGACGAGCCTTCCCAATGGACCGTTTTGCTCGAAGGAGAATTGACTACCATTGTCCCTAACTCTTCCGCGGGGGTCGATTCCCTTTGATCCTCTACATGAACACCACGTGATCAAGTGGGGAGTGAACCTCGTGGCTCGAGGACTGGCGCTGCAGCTTGTCATGGAAGCTGCGTTCCACCTTCTTTTTCTTCTTCTGGTCCCGCACGGTGGGGCGATGCAGCAGCTGATACTAGTCCATGTCAATTTCTGTCTCCTCCTCTATCTTGACTGGAAAAGGCAAGGCGACCAATGAGCAACTGATAACAAATAATGAAGGTAAAGTAAGAAAGAGTTAGCCTAGGGGGCTTACAAAAGGGACCTGAATTGGCGCTCCTCCCGTGGATGTCCCTTAATAAGGTCGGTTGATGGCGATGATCATCTTTGACGAACTCAAACCCAAGCTTTGTCGTCGCTGGCGAAGGCTTGACACAACAGAACGAGGGGTGCCTGGAGCCGGTAAAGGGAGACTCGAGCCCAGTAGAGACAAAGACAAAGAAGGGCTTCCAATCTTTAGTGGACCCCTTCTTGTCGCTGGAAAAGAGCTTGCTCATCCATCTCGAGAGGCAAGCGTAAGAGGCCTAGTTCTTGTGCCCTTTGGCGAGTTTGAAGGTGAACAAAAAATGGACCAGGTTAAGAGTCACTCCCGCTTACTAACACTTGATCAGGTTACCCGCTATATATCTGTGGGAGTTAGGGACTAGTTGGCATGGGAGGAGGTCCACCTCATTCAAGAACTCCACGAGCAGAGGGTGCAACGGGAATCGCAGGCCCCTCTTCAAGGAAGCAAGGTGCACAGTGAAGAACCCCTTAGGGGCGTCCAAGGTGGTCTCAATCTTACTAGGCCGTCGGACATCAATGGCGGGTCCGTTGAGAGGAGGAGTACGTGGACATCGAAAACTCCTCATTCCTTAACGTGCTCCGTCTGATGGGATGCTACTAACATGGCAACCCAATCCATAGGCCAAAGATCGCTTTGGAACCCATGGGTATTCCAATGTCAACGTTGGGTTGGCCCAAGGCATTGAGCTCGAGCTGACCCGAGTAAAAGAGAAGTTGGCAACACGCTTTCTGGGAAGAGTCTGTGGCTAGGTTGCGGAAGATGAACCGCGAAATTTGGATAGCGTAAATCGCGGGAATTAGCTTATGTAATTAATAGTTGCCTAAATTAGGTAAATGGATATGTATAAATAGGAGGGATCCTCAAGATAAACCTAGCGTAATACTTTTGCAACTCTCGAGTTCTTTGATTTATTATATTCTTGTGATCCGTCCGTTGAGTCAAATCATTTGGTGGAATTCTTGTCCATCAAATTGAATATAAATAAAGGTGTGTAGTGGCCCTCAAAAAAATCCAATGAGATAGTAGTTAACTATATCATGTTCTTTAGGACGGGAAAAAAAAGCTAGATGTTGGAAGAAATAGGAAGAACTGGAAGAAACTAAAAGGAACGGGAAAAAACTGGAAAAACTTCAAAAAGTTGGAAAACCTAAAAAACACTTTTAAAAAATTTATTTAAGTGTATTTTCATATGATTCTCATTCTAATTCTTGTTTTTATAAATTATTATTATTATTATTATTATTATTACTATTACTATCATCATCATCATCATTATGTTATCATAAATAATTGCCTTTAAGATTAAAAAAAAGTATTGTTATTTTTCATATACAAAAAAAACTTTTGCAATAAAATAATTATAATATAATGTTAGCATAAATGTCAAAATGTTAAATTTTAAAAAGTTATTGTGGTTACATTGCACCTCCAATGCAGTATTTATTATAGATAATATATTTGTAATTATATTTTATATATTACAAGATTTTGTTTTAAATATAAGACATGTCACATAATGTAATCAATCCTATTTTTCTTTCATGATTGACATTTTATTTTCATTGTAATTTCTATTTTGGAATAAAGACATAGAACTTCTTTTCACATTTTTTGTATTTTACTCCTATTTTACTCTTTTTCTCTAAACTATTTTGACTTTCAATTTTTTTAATTAAAATAAGAAAAATGTGAAAATTTGAGTAATAAAGGGAAAGGTGAGGGGTCTTTTATAAAGTTATATTAATAAAATATTTTTTGTAACTATTTTATCCATAATTTTTTAATATAGTTTAAAATATTGATTTTTTCCTGTTATATCGTGTAGATTAATATACAAAAAATTGTCTTATTCATACTAAAAAGTTGAAGAAAAAATAATGAGTGTGAATCATAAAAAAAAGTGAGATGAAAAAATTAATTTATAAACTATAGTTATAAACATAACAGATGTAATGATAAGAATAATAATAAAAATAATAATCACATAAAACATATTTTTTTAGAGTCATTGGTTGGGGAGTAGAAAGAGTTTGAAGAAAATGAGAATAATTGGAAGAAACTGAAAAATTGGAAGGAACTAAAAGGAACTGAACGAAACTAAAAGTTAAGGGTTTAAATCCTAAAAAAGAGGCTCTAAGTAGAAGTATTATTATTGGGATTAATATATTACTCCCTCCGTCCCATAAAACCTTTCTCCTTTCTTTTTTCATCCGTCCCAAAAAATACTTCTCATTTCTATTAAAAAGTCACTTTTACCCTTTACTTTTTCATACCCTACCTATCACATCATACATTTTTACTAATAATCTATGAAATATTTGCACTAAATAGCATTAAAACTTAAGTCATTTCTCTAAATAGCACTTAAATTGTTTTATTTCCTAAATAGCACTTAATAATGTCCATAATGACCAGTGATGATAAACATTACTTGAATAATGACTAAAAGTGTTACATTGGAAAAAAAAACACATGTAGTGCTATCTAGGGAAAGTCATTATGTTTTAGTGCTATTTATGTAAATTCCTCATAATATATCCATCAAATCATACTTTTACCCATCACATCAAATGACATATTTGGAAATTCAATACCAAAATACACTTCCCTTAAATCATTTTTCAAAATCAAAACTCTCATGTTTTACGGGAGGGAGGGAGTATTTAAATGGGAGAGATTGCAATGAGTTACCCTAACCTAAAAATAGCAAATCGCACTAAACTTCCACACGTAACATAAAGGTGTAGTTATATATATATCACACCATGCATATACTTAGAGTAGAACTCATAAGATCTATTTAAGTCCTCCAAGAACACCACAAATTCAAGAACTTATCAACCCATACAATGTCGAACGAGGATGGTGCAAACAATTCCAACAAAAATTTAAAGTGGAAGGTATTGACACCTGCCGTCCTGCTTACCCTATGCATCATCGGTGTCCTTGTTTTCATCTTTCTCGTCCTCTTCGCCCTCCTTCTTACTTGGCTCATCCTTCGCCCCACCAAACCCGCCTTCGTCCTCCAAGACGCCACCGCCTATGACTTCAACGTCACCACAGTTGTTCCTGGCATCATCGCTCCGAACCTCAACGTCGGAACCGACATCCAGATAACGATTGTATCCACCAATCCCAACGCACGCGTAGGGGCGTTCTACGACCAACTCAGCGTCTTCGCTGCCTACAAAGGCCAGCGGATCACCACCCCCGCTCCCCTCCCAGAGTCTTACCAAGGACACAAAGACATCACTGTTTGGTCTCCTTTCCTCAGTGGAAAGTTTGTGTCCTTGGCACCGTACCTCGGGGAGGAGCTCGTTGTGGATGAGAGCGCGGGGATGGTGATGATCAACGTCAAAGTTGATGGAATGATCAGGTGGAAGGTGGGGAGGTTTCTTTCCGGGAAGTACCATCTTCATGCAAACTGTCCGGCTTATTTGAGCTTTGGAGAGAAATATAGGCCAAACACCATTTTAGTTGGGTCAACCGCCAAGTATCAACTCATGCAAACTTGCCATGTTGATGTCTGAACAATGAATTAAATGTATAAGTGTGTACCGTTTTGTATTATCATAATGTTGTTAATTATTAGTTTGTGTTCAGAATAAATTTTATTTGAGCGATTAAACTTTAATTAGAAACTATTGTCTGTTCATCAGAATTTTGAAAAAAAATATGTACTTTGTTTTATAAAAATATATATCATGTTTGTTTTTAGTTATGATCTTTGAATTGATTTATTTTTTGTTCTATTTATTTAAATTTTACTATGAAATGTTATACTCCCTCCGTCCTCCAAAATCCATTTATCTTCTCATTATGTGTTACGAGGTTTACCCGACTTTATTTTCTAGTTCAATTTAATTGATTGTAGATGTAAAAATTAAATATAAAATTTATATAGTAAAAAACTAAATGAAAAATGATACTTCATTGAACATAAGAATAATTGTATTACTCAAAAAAATGAAGTATACAACAAAATATATATAGAAAAGAATACAAGCAAAACTAAGAATAGGAATATAGTACAATAAAAGAAGCAGACTAAAACACAAAGACTATCAAGCTGAACTCCGTATAGCAAGTAGAAGCTTGGATAGAAGATGTTGGAAACATGGTATGTGAATGGAAAGACTTAGGGGCTGTTTGGCAACTTCTGGATAAGTAAATGCTAAACCAGTAAGAGGTCTGAACCATTAAGTGCTGAACTAGTAAGAGGTCTGAACCATTAAGTGTTGAACCAGTAAGAGGTCTGAACCATAAAGAGCTAGTATATTGCTTAACTATTTAGAGACAAATGTCTGATCAATTCAGATAAGAGGTCTTAACCATTCAGACTCTGTATAAGACTTAACCATTCAGAGACAAATCTCTTAACCATTCAGACATCTGAACCATTAAGAGGCTGAAACAAACAGTCTGAACCATTAAGTGCTGAACCATTCAGACATCTGAACCATTAAGAGACTGAAACAAACAGCCCCTTAGTCAGCAAGTCTGCAAGCTAATCTTTTCAAAAAATATGAGACACACTCATAGTGCCAGCAATAACCTATTCACGAACAAAGTGATAGTCTATTCATGGAACATAGAATTTTTAATAAGACAAATGGTATATTGATTATCAAAAAGGAGTTGAGGCACTGATATGGGAACACGAAGATCAATCAAGACATATGTTAGCCACATAATCTCTATTGTAACTAAGGATACAGCTCGATCAATACTCGACCTCAGTCAATGATTTCGACACACGAGTTTGCAATTACATACTTCAAGAGACCAGATTTGGTTTGAGGTATATAGCTATAATCGAGCGTCCATCAGTCATGTCATTAGCTCACTCTAAATCAAATAAGCTTTGAGTTGTAAGTCACCAGGCCGAAAAATGAGACCACAATCAAGAGTGCCTTTGACAAAATGATGAATTCACTTTAAACTCTAGATATCATTGTTAGTAAGAGCATGCATACATTGACACACATAGTTCACAACGAATTGAAATAAGGACGTGTAGTAGTAAGATACAAAAGACCACCAATAAGACTCCGGAACAAAGTGCGATCATAAAAAGGCTAAAATCCCATCTCCAATCTGCGGCTGCTGATCAAACCAGCAGAGGAATGGTGGTCGATTTGTAGTTGTCCAGACCAGCCCGATGGAATAACTCAAGAGAATTTTTTTCTAGGACACGACAAGAGTGGACATAGTTTGATTTATCACTAGATCAAAAAACAATGAAAAGGACCAAGGTCCATTGTTTTAAACTCCTAACACATACGGTCGATAAAGGCCTAAACAAGAGTAGCAGAACTACTTGTAACAATAACATTCTCAATATAAATGAGCAAAATAAGAGTGCCCGTGGGGCCATGCATGATGAAGAGACGTGTATCATGCTTGTTTTTGCGAAAACCATATGCATATAAGAAAGCAGACAAACACAAGTACCACACTCGAGGAGCCTATTTCAAGCCATACAAAGACTTGGTGAGCTTACTGACATGGTGTGTATCAAAAAAGCTGAATCAACATAACTTGGTGGTTAAGCCAAATAGATATCCTCATCAACTTCGCCATGTAAGAATGCATTGTACACAACAAGCTAGTGTAAAGAACACTGATAGCTAAGAGCAAGAGAGAAGACAACATAGATAGTCTTCTAAACTACCACAGAACTAAAAGTGTCATAGTTATCCAAGCCAAATTTCTGATTATAGCCTTTGGCAACAAAATGCGCTTTATAACGAGAAATAGATCCATCAGCGCTATACTTGATCTTGTATATCCACTTACATACAGTCAATCGGAGCCCAACCCAAAGGGCGACGAACAAGTACCCATGTATCATGTTTAATAATCAAAGCGACATATTCCCCATCCATAGCATGACGCCAATAATATTTTTGGAAGCCTATAGAAATGTGTTAGGTTCAGTGTCAGTAGGGTGATTAAAAGGGTAGTGGTATAGATCTTGGGTTTTAAAATGTTGCTTTTAGCACGAGTGGTCATGGGGTTAGTGGGTCGTGGAGTGATGGTGGATGTAAATTAAAGAGGTTCCATGGGGAGGGGTGTAGGATCGGGTAAGGGGCTGGGTAACGAGATGGGTGTTAGGGGGCTGGGTTGTACATGGGTTAGGTATTTGGTAGGGTGGTAGCGGGGTAATAAGATGGGGTGACGGTTGGTCCATGTATGCAGGAACTAGGGACACGGTGGGAGTAGGAAAAAGGGGAAGAACATCAAAGTACGTGGCCGGAGAAAAAGATGATGAACTAGACTATGAGTGTGGAACTGAGACTCATTGAAGTGGACACGACGCGAGACATAGGCACGTCGAGTGGGGGGTGATAACATCGGTAACCTTTGAAGAGATCCTCGTAACCTAGGTAGACACACCGTTTGAGCGAGGTTGAAGCTTATGATCAATATCATGCACGGCAGTGATGAGGGTAGACAAGACCACCAAAGACTCGAATATGGGAATAGTATGGTGGGGTATGATATAAAGCTTCATATGGAGATTTTTTTTGGGAGAGAACATTTGGGCATGTGATTAGCAGTTTGTAATTTAAGAAAAAGTTGTATGTTTAGGCTTGAAACTTACAAAACATTGGTTAAACAAACACACACTGTTAGCCTTGGTATGTTAAATTTCATGTTTTGAAGTTAAGAAATAACTTAATTTAGCTAATATTTGTTCAATTGTGTAGGAACACCAAAATCTACTACAATGTTTTGATTACGTTAATGTGTTCCTTCACATGGGATTAACATAGGATAGTTTAGTGTTATTTATTGTTAAATATATTTGAATGATATATTTCTAAGCACAAGCTCAATACTGTACACACATACAAAAAGATTTTTCGCTTTGGTATTTATTTTTTAAGAAAAATATATATTCTGAATGTTTTCAAAAATCATATTTGAATATTTTTGGAAAATCTAACACAAATGTTATAGCTGTTTTCAATACAAGATCACTGACTTTTGAATTACTCCAATCTGATAAGTATTGAAGAAGTTATAAACATTTTACTAAAATTATTTTTGGGCATGCGCACTACGTCCCAGGTGGTCCAGGAGTTGGATCATTTCTATGGAACGATCGACCGTCTCTATGACCGTTGGCTGATTCTAACCGCTATACACACGATGGTCGACTGTGACGTTCAAACGGTCGAGGCACTGGACCATTCTTAGTGTAGATTTTTCCATTAATGGTCTTATTAATATCCAATGGTTTAATTCTATTAAATATGGTGCTTGGAGCCTCTTAATAGTTATTTTCAAATAAAATGCTCCTAATATATCCCTATAAATATGCAAACTAATTCATTGTTTTAGATCATCAAGCTTTGCTCAAATCCCTTCATTCTTTTATTTAGTGTTCATATTATGTATCAAAATCTCTAATATTTATATTAGGCTAATTAGAGTCATGCTTGAGAGAAATATTTGAACACATATTGAGCTTGATCAAAACAGATATACACTCATTTATCTATCTATAAGAGAGTTCTAATTGCTTGAGTATATAGAAATCACCACACCAACCTGACCTTTGTATTTTATATTCTTTAGGCGATGGTGATTCATATTGTTATTTAATATCCTATCCTTTGTAATCATTCAAAGACATCCGTGAAATTCTAATTTGAAGCGGTCAAAGATATCTGTTGTAAAATCTTCATTGAAGAACAGTTGGAAATAGAAGTGGTAAAACCTCTATAAGCGGTCAAGGACATCCGCTAAATCCTCGTTGAGACGGTTGGACATAGTCATTGCAAAATCTCTAGGTTGAAGGCATCTATAAATCTTCTGTGCATGGTAGAGGATAGTCGTTGTAAAATTTTCAAGCTATAACATTTGTGTTAGATTTTCCAAAAATATTCAAATATGATTTTTGAAAATATTCAGAATATATATTTTTCTTATAAGTATTGAAGAAGTTATAAACATTTTACTAAAATTATTTTTGGGCATGCACACTACGTCCCAGGTGGTCCATGAGTTGGATCATTTCTATCTATCTATAAGAGAGTTCTAATTGCTTGAGTGTATAGAAATCACCACACCAACCTGACCTTTGTATTTTATATTCTTTAGGCGATGGTGATTCATATTGTTATTTAATATCCTATCCTTTGTAATCATTCAAAGACATCCGTGAAATTCTAATTTGAAGCGGTCAAAGATATCTGTTGTAAAATCTTCATTGAAGAACAGTTGGAAATAGAAGTGGTAAAACCTCTAGAAGCGGTCAAGGACATCCGCTAAATCCTCGTTGAGACGGTTGGACATAGTCATTGCAAAATCTCTAGGTTGAAGGCATCTATAAATCTTCTGTGCATGGTAGAGGATAGTCGTTGTAAAATTTTCAAGCTAGTTGGATACTTCAATGCGTGAAGTATTTTCGATATAGTGTAAACTTATTGGCAAAATTTTGTTTGTCAAACACTCATTCGGTTGAGTCAACGGTGATGAGATTGTCAAGGCATTCTAGTAGATTGGAAATCCTTAAGAAGGAGACTTAAGGTATTAGAGTAGGGAGTTTCTGAAACACTATAAAATACGATGAACTTAAATTTACATTTTTTCTTTGTTGCGTTTGTTACTCCAAATCTATTTTAACATGAGTATTTTTAAACAAGCATCATTAGGCATAAATAAAAGGGACTTAGTTGAAAAAGTTTTAAACTAATATTAATGCCTTATTCACCCCACCCCTCTAAAGTGTGGGTACATAAACTAACACATAAAATATTAGTTCAACAAACATATAGAAACATTTGTTTAAATGAATCTTGAAACACACAGAAATTTGAAACACAAGTTAAAAATGTTTAGTTATTTAACATGTGATTTGTAGCTAAGGATTTACTTACGTGTTCGTCGATGAATACCATCTCGGTTGAATTTATTGCCTTGTCATCATTTTACACCGACAACATGTAACATTAACACTCGTGTCACACGAACCAAAATCCTCCAACACTCACTGATCGGAGATGAGTGATCTTCAATAAAGAGTGAATGATTTTGAAAGACACGACAATTGAGGAAACAAATCAGCAAACAGCAATCGTGTAGTTTTCTTTCTCAAGCACAGCTTGTGAATTGAGAATAAGATAATTGCAATGAATATACTGGAATTTGATTTTTATATGGCCAAAACTTATTATTGACAACCAAGGAATCTCTTTATTTTGGTAGAAACATTAGGCTAAATTCAGAATAGTATCAATCAGATCTTCGATAATAATACCTTTTGCTTCAACTTACCAAATCGAGTGTTAATTATCATGAATCGCAGGAATCGTTGATCAAGAGTCGATTCTCAAGTGTAAAAGGAAAGACTGATTTTACCCATCGCTCCTGAAGGAAAGAGAGGAATGACCGTGAAGGAAAGACTGACTCTCAGCTAACAATACCATTTCCTTTGTAGCAATTTCACCCATCGGTCTAGTAGAAGGAAATTCATACTCTGTTAATCGATCCAGCGATTCTCATCTAGCGATTTTACTTATCGATCTTATAGAAGGAAATTCATACTCTGTTAATCGATCACTAGCGATTCTCACCTGCCGATTTTGGCTGATTCTTTGTCGCGATTGCCTTTCTTGTGATTTCATCCAGTGATTCTCATCTTTCTTTCTTTCTTTTTTTTGTGGTTGTTAGAGGAAATGGCGATTCTCATCTAATTGGTGTAAAAGGAAAGACCTAAGTTTAATTCGAATATACTCTTTGTTTAAATAATAGTGGTAAATAAGTGGCAGATGACGTGCTAAAAAATATCAAGTAGACTCGCCAAATGTCAAAATTTTTTGAACTAAAGTCTCATTATTATAGTAAAGGATTAAATAATCTTTATAAAATGTGTTTTTCTAGAAATGGTCTTTCTTTTGGTTTAGGGTTTACGAGAACCAAAATGAAAATTATTTTTCAATTAAAAAAATTCATATGACCAAAAAATAAAAATTACTATTTTTACAGCACAAAAAACATAAAAAATTATTCCAGGACACACTCGATTTTTTGGAACGAACTCTCAGGTCGTACAATATCACAAATATACTCCGAGGGTCCTTAATATTCGTGGTTATATACTTCGAGGGTATATTTTATCCATTTGGCCGTTATGATTGAAAGTTTCATTACTTTGATCAATAAAAAACCAAAAATATACTTCAAGGTACCTCACGTTTTCACTAAAGAACTTGCATCACCCATATTATTAAGTTTTACCTTGAATAATAATTATTTTTTTAATTTTTAATATAAATCCTTCAATTTCTAACTTAAAAAATTGTTATCTTAGCTGTTTTTAAAATACCATTACCTTATTTATATTGTCATCATAAAAACATTTGTTATACAACATTTATTTTATTAATTTAAAAATATTATTTAAACTTTATTTTTTTAAAAAAATTAATGTCTTTTTGAAATTTTAATACGTTTGTGGATAAAATTAAAGTTTTTTATTAAATATATGTTTAAAATACATATTTTAATTTATGTTTAAAATACAGAATTTAATTTATAAATAATTTAAACATTTAAAAACATTATATATACTTTAATTTATAAATATTTTGAAAATTAAATTTTTTTTATAAATACTTCAATTTTTGCAAATATAAAGTTGAAATAATTTCTTTAATGATTTAAAATAAGTTTTTGTGATAAAATATAAAATTTTAGACCGCAACCACAAGTTTGAGAGCTTGGTTGAGTTGGTTTTTTTATGCAAATATATATATATATATATATATATACCTTCAAAGTACATTACTACGAATTGAATGTTAAGGATCCAAAGTATATTTCAAATACTGTGATACTCTAGAGAAATTTTCTGCAAAAAAAAAAAAAATTGAACATTAACTCCATATGAAAAATAGGCGGGAGAACCATCGATCTATAAACAAAAATTTATAGGGATGACCTAAATAATGTGAAATTATTACTAAATCGTTTTAAAACATATGTCATTACTTAATGTAATACGTAAACTTTTTGATTTTTTAAAAAGTACTTGAATAATATCTAGTGGTGGGAATAATGTTCAGTGATGATAGACATTTAGTTTGAACAATGTCCAATGACGCTAAACATTTACTTGAACAATTACAATTGGACAATGGCCAGTGATACTAATTAGGAAATAAAAACATGCAATACTACATTATTGGGAAAGCCACTATGTTGTAACACTTAAATTTCTCCTAAATAAAACATATTTAAACGGCCGGGATAAAAAACATATTCAAACCTATTTTTAATGCGTAAAATTTGGGTGTAGCTTTTTCAAATTAATACCCGTCATTAAAAATTTATCGAAACTATTAATTGGACGGCCAAATAGCGCTGATACCCCTCGTGGTTTGCAAAATAAGCACCAATACCCCCTCTATTTTCAAAACTCATTTCTAAAGTTCCTGTGGTTTCAAAGTGTTGCACTCGTGCCCCTCTGATCATTTTCCGGCCATTTTTCCGGCGAAGAAGGGGGGCATTGGTGCATATTTTTTAAACCATAGGTATCAGTGCTGATTTTTATTTCTTGCATATTTTTTGTTTTTTCCATTTTTTCCTTTTTTGTTTCATTTATTAATAAAGGTTTTTTTAAAATTATTTTTATAATGTTCTTAAAATTTAAATTTATTTTTGTTTGAAAAAATGACATATAATGCATATGTACTTCTCAAATTAACAATTTTTTTTCTGAAAAAAAGTAATTTTTTAAGAACTTCAAAAAATGAGGTATAAAATAAGAAACAAATTAATACAAAAATAAAAATGAATATCCTTTTTGGACATCTTAATTCTATGGACTTTTTTAGGCATGTCCAATTTTTTTTTGTATATGACTTTTTTTGCGTATTTTAATTTTTGTTCATTTCGTTTTTCCATATTTCTATTTTTTTATTCTTTGTTTTTTGAACTTTCCAAAAAATTATTCTAAGTAACAAAGAGTGAAATTGTTTAATTTGAGATAGATGTAAAATATGTTAATTTTTCTATTTTTATTTTCATTTCAAACACAAAGAATTTGAAAATTTTTGAAACATTATAAAAAATTGAAAATATATTTAAAAAAATATAGGACAAGGAAAAAGAGATAGAAAATATTTTTTAAAAAAAAGGAAAGAATAATAAACGAAAATAAGAAATGAGCACGAATGCCCCCTATGGTTTAAAAATTATGCGCCAATGCCCCTATTCGCCGAAAAATGGCTGGAAAATGATCAGAGGGGGTGTGGGTGCAACGTTTTGAAACCACAGGGACTTTAGAAATAAGTTTTGAAAACAGGGGGGGTTTTGGTGCCAATTTTTCAAACCACAGGGGATACGGGAGCTATTTGGCCTTAATTGGACATTAAAAATATTTTTAAATGAAGATCAAAGACAAAGCCCATAGAAACGAACTCGCATTAATTTTTATCAACTATTACTATTATTATTAAACTTGTTACTATTACTATTATTATTGTTATCGTTATTATTATAATTATTATAAAACAAATCTCCCTACATAAAACGAAAACTTAATTAAAACACTAAAACATCAGTCACCTTGTTTATCCTCTAAAAGCCTATTCTTTAGAACTAGAAAAAAAGAGCTGGTTGTTGGAAGAAACTAGAAAAAATAAGAAGAACTAGAAGAAACTGGAAGAAACTAGAATGAATAGGAAGAACTCGAACGACTGGAAGAAACTAAAAAAACTTCAAAAAAAATAAAAAACCTAAAAAAAACATTATTTTTTTTATTTTAGTGTATTTTTATATTATTCTGATTCTAATTCATATTGTTACAAATTTTTATTGTTGTTGTTGTTGTTGTTGTTCTTATTATTATTATTATTATTATTATTATTATTATTATTATTATTATTATTATTATTATTATGATCATCATCATCATCTTCTTCATTTTCATCATCACATTATCTTAATAAATGCCTTTAAAATATAAACAAAATATTATTGTTATTTTTCATACCTAAAAAAATTACTTTTGCAAAAAAAAGTAAATATAATATAATGTTAGCATAAATATCAAAATGTTTGATTTTAAAAAGTTTTTTTGGTTACATTGCACCTCAATTTATTTATGCAGTATTTATTATAAATAATATATTTAAAATTATACTTTATATATTACAAGATTTTGTTTTAAATATCAGACATGTCACATAATATAATCAAACCTATTTTTCTTTCATTATTGACATTTTATTTTCATAGTAACTCTTATTTTTGGAATAAAGATATAGAATGTTTTTTTTACATTTTTTGTGTATGACTCCTATTTTACTCTTTTTCTCTAAACTATTTTGACTTTCATTTTTTTATAAAAATTAGAAAAATAAGAAAAACTTGAGTAATAAAGGAAAAGGTGAGGGTCTTATATAAAGTTAGATTAATAAAGCATTCTATATAACTATTTTATCCATAAGTTTTTAATATAGTTTTAAATATTGATGTTTTCCTATTTGATCCTGTAGATTAAAATACAAAATAATTGTTTTATTCATATTATTTAAAAAGTTGAAGAAAAAATAATAAGTGTGAATTGTAAAAAAAGTGAGATGAAAAAAATAATTTATAAATTATAGTTATAAACATAACAGTTGTAATAATAATAATAATAATCACTTTAAAAATATATCATTTTTAGAGTAATTGGTTGGGGAGTAGAAAGAGTTTGAAGAAAATGAGAATCGTTGGAAGAAACTATAAGAAACTGGCGGAAACTGGAAGGAACTAGAAGAAACTGAAAGTTAAAAGTTTAAGCCCTAAATAACAGACTATAAATAAGAATGTATTGACATTGTGATACAGAGTGTTAACTGTGTGGTAGAAATGTAAAGACGCTATAATATGACAGTGTGATCTATCAACTGCCAGTGGACTTTCGATCAATATCGGTGACCGGCGAGTGCACTTTTGTGATCGACAATGATGGCGTGGCAGTTGCAGTGTGATAATGTTGTGATTGGGGTACTAAACAATCACAACGTGAATTCTTTTTTAATCTTAAAAATTTCTCTTTTGGTATAATCATATTTTTTTACTCTTATCCCGAGTTCATCCTTATTATAATTTGTTAGACAATCGTAATAAATTCTGTTATGGTAGTGCTTGATTATGAGTCAGCTTCCTATTCTTATTTATGATAGATGTAGTATCTTAGTGAGTTTGCATTCTCTATTTCTAATTGTGTTAGAATTCCCTTCTATATATATGTCTTCTATCACGTACTCCATAATTCAATTAGCAATATTATTATTGTTGTTGTTGTTGTTATTATTATTATTATTATTATTATTATTATTATTATTATTATTATTATTATTATTATTATTATTATTATTATTATATTTCGTATCGGAGCCACCGTTGTTAGTGACCTAAAACTCTTTGCGCTCGCTCCTGGCGGCCGCCGCCGCCATTAGTCGCCCGACACACCGATGTTCTTCCTTCAATTTTAAAGATTGGCAACTCCTCTAAAACTCTTTCAACTCATCTTTCTATCTTTTCAAAATCAAGGAAAAAAATGATAGTTGTTTCTTTCTGCAATTCACCATACCAGAATCTCAGACCTTGATCTTTTCTCCATCACCAATTCTTAATTAATTCACATTTTCTCTCTCTCAAATCACTCATTCTAATCATCAACATCACTTCT